TCACAAAATCCAGGCAGCACAGATGAGCAGCATCACAAGCTCTGAGTCTGGTAGCAACCGGTAAATCATTAGACAACTGACAGTAGACGGTAAACGAGGACCTGACAGGGAACAAGAGACACAGGTGGGTAGAAATACACAGGGAAAGGAATCAGGGGAAGCAAGGGACAGCTGGGAACAATCAAGGGGTAGACGCAACAACACAGAGACTCAATAAACACAAAAATACACACAAACTCAAATCCTCACACATTCAAGACAAAGTGAAAGACTGACCATGTAGAAGAGAGGAGTAAACTTGATGCAGATCTTCATCTTGACCGACTGGCTGCTCTGAAACACAACCTTGATTACAAAAAAAGATTTTTGGTGAAATTGTTGTGTATTTAAAAATTCATATGTGTTTATGATGATGTGCTCTGGTAGAAATATTATTGAGTCAGGAGAAGATGCCCTCACATTATGGCTTTTGGAAATAAATCAGCAGCAGAAGCAGAATGAGAACGATGAACCCAATCACTGATATGGTGACAAACAGAAAAGGGAAAGAAGAGCTTCCAGGTCTGGATGCAGCTGTGTTTAGAGATCAATAAGGAATATTACTTATGACAATGATAGTACACAAAGCAAACAAACGCAAAATAATCATTCAATAAGATAAGTGCATTAAAGACTCCACCTTTAACTGCCATCCAGCTCTGAGGTGAAACTTCTCCTGAATGTTCACACTTGTAGAAACCTTCATCTGACTGAGACACTGCAGAGATCTTCAGCTCTCCTCTGCTGTCATTTTGGATCAGTTTGTCATTATGATAGAAAATCACATCAGAAAGTTTGGTTTCTCCTCTCAGTCTGCAGCTCAGAGTAACAGAAGCTCCTTCAGTCACAGGATGGACGGGGCTCACCAGGAGAAGACCTTCATCTGGAAACCAGACAGAGAAAATGAAGCTTCAGTCAGAAATCAGCTGCTGGAGACAATTAGAGAAAAAACTGAACACATGATTTTTATCATTGATGCTTTAAATTTTATTTTGAGCACCTTTTATTGAAATTTAAAAATTTAGCTCCAAAGGGGTGCAATGAAAAGATCAGTACCTAAGAAGTACTACTGGCTAAAGACACTCACTGCCCTCCATGAGCGACTGGCAGTTCAACTGAACCAGCTGCTACAGAATGGGACTCACCCTGAATGGTTAACTGAAGGGCGCACAATCCTGATCCAGAAGGATCCCTCAAAGGGTTCAGTCCCATCCAACTATCGGCCAATAACCTGTCTCTCTACAACATGGAAGCTCATGTCAGGCATCATAGCGGCTAAGATAAGCGGACACATGGATAAATACATGAACACGGCACAGAAGGGCATCGGCATAAATAGTAGAGGACCCGACACACCAACCTGTGCCAACCTGTGCACCGCTTGGATTGATTACAAGAAAGCCTATGACTCAATGCCACAC